TGTGCGTGTGCGTGTGCGTGTGCGTGTGCGTGTGTGTGTGCGTGTGTGTGTGTGTGTGTGTGTGTGTTTCACTAGGGGTTTCAGTGTCCCATCAAAACCTCAAACATTCACCCTCAGGTGGTTCGAATGCAATGCAGATCTCGGGCATCAGTTCTGGGCGGATGCGGAATACATTGAGTTTGGTGGAGGCCGCTTGTTGAGCAGTCCTGGTTTCGACGTTGGGCAGTTCAGGGTGAGTGTGGGCCCCTGGTTCATGGGCACCCGTTCTGTTTCTGCCCCAATAGCTTAAAGGCATCGGGTTTCTCAATCAGATGTCTACAGCTTGGTGGACCTCCCTCGCCGTTACAGGGAGTATAGCTATAGTCCTAACATCAGTCCCGCAAAGCAACAGTATGGTATGCCCTGGCACCGGCGCCAAAGAAAGGGGTGTTATTTATCCGTTGTTTACATGAAGAAACTTACACTTACACCCTAAGCCCCTGAACTCTAAACCCTTGAACCCTACACCCCCAAACCCTTGAACCCCAAACGGTAGACCCGAAAACGTTTGGCATTTACGACATTGGGCTTCAGCGTCTGGGAGTTTAGGGTTAAAAACCCTTGAAGGAACATTTATAAACTGGTTCTTTTAATTGGGATCTGGTTTAGGGGTTTTGGGTTTGACTTAACTGGTTCTCTGAGTTGGGATCTATCAGAGTTTGAGGATTACGATGAGGGTCTGAACAAGTCGTTGTATTATTCCCTTATATAGTCCCTACACACTCTTCGAACATACCCCCAAAATCCTATTCTAAATCCTTGAAGCCCTTCGGTGGGGCACCGGGTTTCGTGCACTGCCCTTTACCGGATACCGTGAACATGCCAGTTTGTTTAACCCTTAGGCCCTAACGGGCTACAGCCTTGAAACATCTTGAACCCCAATGCAGTCCCTAAGCCCGAAAGCTCTAGACTTCACAGTCCTCAAAACAGCCTAAAGCCCTCGGGAGACCACCACGCGATTTAGAGTGGCTCGGGGATTCTAAACAAAGTCGCCCCTACCTCAGGGGAGGGATCGGGGGTTCTTCGGTTTAGGGCTAAGGGCTTATGGGGTTTAGGGCTTATGCGGTGTAGGGTTTAGAGTTTATGATGAGGCGTTGGTGCTAGCGGCATCGCTGCCGCCTTGAATGGCGCATGGGTGACCATCGTTGATGCGTATGCAGCCGGCACGTTGTCCAAGAACCTCGAGGTGGGGGGCGAAGTTAGTTCTCCACCTGTGCCACGCCTTTTCCCCATAGGAACAAATGGGAGTTTCCGAAAATAGGATAGGACCCCAAAATAAGGTACCCCAATATTCGGAAACCCCCAAATGGTCCAGAAAGCTAGAGATTTTGATAATGTGAAAACATAGGGCTGATTCGGACCTTGTAAGAAAAAGCTTATTAGGCTCGGTACTGCCTGACATTCCTATCCTTTGGGCCCACGAGAGGCCATAAACCCTACACACTAAGCCCTGTGGTTCTCTAAATTAGGGTCCCCTGTAGGGTCCTTTTCATAAGTGTGCCGCATTATTTTGGGGACCAAAGAAGGAACCCTAATTTAGAGAATTACCCAGACCCAGCCAGGTGAACTTGCCAAAGGCCATTCGGCACAGAGTGGTCTTCTGCCAGATGAATTGGACCCAAGCAGTCGAGAGGAGCTTGTCGTTCCTTGGCTTGTCTTGGGGGGTCCCGTTTAGGAAGTACAGCTAAACCTTAAACCCTAAACCCTGGGTGATTAAAGCTGACACAGGGCTCTGGGGATTTAGGATTGTATGCATTTTGGCTTCTTGCTTGGTTCAGATTACGTAGACCTTAGCAAGGTCATTTCGGCTTCTTGGGGTGTAGGGGAGGGGGAATGCTTCGGGTTTAAGGCTTCGCGGTGTAGTTCTGAAAGTTGCTGCGGTCGTTTTGAGGTTGGGTTTGCTGGTAATTAAGCGTATTTCTGATTACAAGGCAAAAGCCGTAGAACATAGAAGCGCATACAAACATATGCACAATTGCAAGTTTCATGGAATGCAGTAGAGCTTAATGAGTGAACTAGAACAAAAGTGATGCAATATGTATTAGAATCGTTTCTGCGTTCTATCGTGTTTTGTCGTCGTATGGGTGCTTGTATGCCATGGCCCATGGTGGCAAGGACTTGGTGTACATGTTCTGGCAAGTTCCCCATCGTCTACAGCTTGTCCTGATTACTTGTAGTGTTTGTATAGATACATGTACGTACATACCCTGAACCCTAAACCCTAAAGCCCTAAGCCCTAAACCCTACAGCACTTGCCCGGTTTGGGGATACCCGGCCCTACGAGGCCACTAGGCCATAACTCTTACCTTTTCTTCTGCTGTGCCAACACGCGATAGTCTCAACAGCGCTTGGCGGCAGAAGCATCAGGGGTTTAGGGTATATAGGGGGTTTAGGGTTTGGGGGTTTAGGGATAGCCTAGGTGTCGTCGTAAAACCCGGAACTTTTAAGTTTGGAGATACTGAAGCTCCATTCCTCTGAACCCTTCACGTGCTGTCATTATGTTTTAACCTAAACACCGTGCCTAGGTGGGAGTTTCCGGATATTAGGATACCCCATTTTGGGGTCCTTATAATCAGGATCCTACTATTTAGGGTGCTATATTAGGGTCCCCTATTTTTGGAAACCCCCAGGTAGGGGTGTCGAGAACCAACGCCCTGCACCTGACCCTGAGCCCCAAAGCAAAGATGTTTCAAGGCGATTGAGGGCTTGCCTTTCTGATCGTCCCGGCCGAGAGTTTCGGACCATGAAGTTTGACCTCATCGCCAGCGGTACATCCATCTACAGTGCCCTGGACCTTGCAATGTACATCCAAAGCTCTAAACCCTAACTAAACCCTAAACCCTACACCCCTGAACACTAAACCCCCGAACCCTAAACCCCTAAACCCTACACCCCTAAACCCTACACGTTTCGATCAATCGAGCTCATGCTCGGGCCATGGTTGTTCGGGGTTTAGGGTTTAGGGAACGTCTGATGTTATGCGATGGCTGGTCCTCCTAAACCCTAAACCCTAAACCCTAAACCCTAAGGACCGTGCTGACTGTCATCTTCCTTTGTTTATGGATACCTCGCCCTTAGTTCACTCTCTTCTTAGGTGTACTGAGAAATAATTTTTAATCTTTGGTTACTATAAACCCTAAGAAGCAGCTAAAATTATAATTTTTGCTAGGGGTCTAAGTTCAGTATAGTCTTAACTTGCCGGAAGCCGTCGGAAACCCAGGTTGTGGGATCGCTTTGCTGGGGTTTTTGCGTGGGTGTTTCTCAGGGCTTTAGGGTTTTTGGGGGTTTGGGGGTTTTGGGTTCCGGGGGCCACATGAACTTTTTTAAGTTGGAGGGTTTTGGGTTTATAAGGTTTAGGGCCGTTTAGGGCATCCAGAAAGCATGGGGATGCGGATGCCCCGAGCTTCTGGCAGTCGCTGCAAGCCCTAAGCGCGTTCGTGGCGATGAAAACGACTGCAGCACTCTAAATCCTACAAAGAAGTTCTATACTAAACACCTACTACATACCCACACCTTAAATCTTTCTAAACTCTACACTACGTCCTATACCCTAAACCCTAAACCCCAAACCCTAAACCCTTAACCCTAAGTCATTCTAAACTCTACAGTACGTCCTATACCCTAAAGCCTAGACCCCAAACCCCAAACCCCAAACCCCTAAACCCCTAAACCCCTAAACCCTAAATCCTAAATCCCTAAACTCCTAAATCCCTATACTATGCTAAACCCCCCCCCCATCTAAACCCACACCGCAAGGCGGAGGCTATCTGCTTCCACTCATGCACGCCCTCAGCGGTCCGAGGATCTTGCAATGAACACCGTGGAGGGTTTTAGGTTTTAGGGTTTTAGGGTTTAGGGTTTAGGGTTTTGGCACGAGGGTTTAGGGTTTAGGGCTTAGGGCTTTAGGGTTTAGGGTTAAGGGTGTTTGGGTTTTAGGGTTCAGGGTTTAGGGTTTAGGCTTATAACTCAATTATAACTTATAACTACCCAGAATCATAAGCTCCCTTGTAGTTCCTTTTTGTGGTTTGCAATAAGAATCCTATGAGAATGATAAGGTAATCCACCAAAGGTGGAGGTTTGGAGTCTCCGGTACTCGCGTCTACAGTTTTAGAGCTTTGGAGTTCAGGCTGTGAGGGTCAACAGAGGGGCCTTAATAATTAGAATAGGGTTTTGGGGTTCCTTACTATACTTTATAACTAAAGTATAATATACCCCAAAACTCTATTCTAATTATTAAGGCCCCTACAGTAGAGGGGCTTTCGGCTTGGGATGGCTTTGGGGCCGCTGTGGTGATTCGGTCCTCTAAGCGTCCATGTGCCTATGTGGGTATACGTAGTTCTCTAAACTCAGGTCCCTTGTGTGGTCACCCAAAATAGTACGGCACCCTTCTACAAAGGACGCCTGAAAGGGACCCTAATTTAGACATCTACCCATGCCGTATATACTTCCGGCTTCAGTATTAAGTGGCGCTGTGCGCTGTGTTCTTTGTGCTAAATAGGTGTGGTGTCTTGCAGGCTATATTGGCTGGTACGTGCGCTGGGCAGGAAGCCTAAACCCCTCAACCCTTACACACCAGGCTCTGCAACCCTAAACCCTAAACCCTAAACCCTACACCCTAAGCCCTAAAGCCAATCCCCTCAAACCCGAAACCCTTGAGGCCCTGAGCTCTCAAACCTGAATGTTCTGAGTGCCCGGAAGCCTGAAACCCCGAAAGCCAACGCTATGGACAAAGGGTTTAGGGTTTAGGGTTTAGGGTTTAGGGTTTAGGGTTTAGGGTTTGGGGTTTGGGGTTTGGGGTTTCAGGTTTAGGACCAGGGCTTTCGTTGTTTCTCTGCAGGACCCGAGTCCTTCTGGCGCCGTCTGTCTCAGAGCAGAAGTTCACTGAACCGCGGCTGCAAGCCTAGGTCGTATTAGAGAGAGAATTCGCAAAGGGGACCCTTCTGAACCCTACTTGTGGCTCTCTTCAACCCTAAACCCTAAACCCTAAACCCTGAACCCTGAACCCTAAACCCTAAACCCTAAACCCTAAACCTTGAACCCTAAACCCTAAACCCTAAACCCAAAGCCCTTCTGAATCCTACTTGTGGCTCTCTTAACAAGGACCTTATTGAGAGGGTCTATATCCCCAAGGGTGCCCCTAGTCGTAACT